TTCAGTGGAGTTTCTATTATTATAATTTCTTTTGCTTAAAACTTTAGTTTGTATGGAGCTTTAAAGCAAGAATAATTTTTCACTCCCTCAAGTTCTTCTCTTTTGCCTCTCCCACAAGTTCTTCCCCTTCTAATCTTTTTATTGATTTTTGAATTGACTGGTTCCATGAAGCGAAATTTAAAAACTGCCAAGCACACGCTTGAACCGCAGCCACGCTATGGATCTATTTGGATTAATAGTAGAAAAAATAATTTATTTTTATGATTTTTAAAAAAGTGAAATTGTGTCAAAGTTATATTGGGTAATATAATTTATATTTGGATTAATTTTTATAAAAGTCAGTTTGTAAAATAAAAAAGTTGGTTGGATTATAATTAAATAAATAAGTTTAGTTTGTAAAATAACTAAAATGGTTATGATTTTTATTAAATAATTAAAAATAATTAAAAATATGAATTTACAAAATATAATAATTTTAAATTATTATAATAGAAAGAAGTTATATTTAATGAATAAAATATATTTAAATTAGAAATCATAGTAATATGAAAATCTTTGAACCAAATAATATTATATAATTAATTAGATGATATACTATGCATGATTTACGTAAATATAAAAAGAACAATAATGAAGTGGTAAAATAACTAAAAAGGGTATGAATTTTATTAAATAATATGATCTCCGATCCTTAATATAAGAACTAGTTAGACACTTAATTTGGTCATAAATATAATATCCTAATTCATTTTGTCTCTAATATTTATCTATTTTGCCCCTAAGTAATCCTTACGTTATAGTTATTACACATGTTAATGAGTTTTCGTTAAGAAGTAGCTTTCAATGGGCATGATTTATGAGAGTATTTTATGAAAAATAACATCTATTTATTACAAATAATTAATTTAAATAACTTTTTAAATATTCATAAATTTTTTATGTAGCTCTTATATTAATAATTAGTGTATATATATTATACTAGTATGAAAATTGTGATGCTTATATTTTGTATTAGAAAGAATACAAGTCTAAGTTTGAATATAAGATGGTATAATGTAATTTAAGATAAATTCTTTTAAAAGCATGGGGTCCAACTTTCTTTTTTTATCTTCTCTCTCCACTTTCAAAAGTCATAAGCTTCAAATTTTTACTTATAACTTATAGTGGTTTTTAATCCAAAAGCTGAATTGCTCCACCGCCATTACAAACACACCAAATTTCACTCAATCTGCACAATCGTACATTTTGTTTCAATAAGTTACTTTTCTCCTATTGAAACGCTAAAGCAAACAGGTACTATATTGTCAATTTCCTGTTTTATGCAAGATTTTGATCGGTTTACTTTTAAAAGCGTAGGATTTCCAAGTCATGTAAGTGACAAGTAACCGTTCACTTGTTTGTAATTTAAAAATAAACATTCACTTGGTTAGTTGTCTAAGATCTTTTGAAGTACAAAAGTAATTGCATATTTGCATATAGTATGGCAAAAAGAGATGGGAAAAATTCACTAAAAAAAAAAAAAAGAGATGGGAAAAAAAATAAAAGAAAGAGAGGATGACGTTTGAGTAGTCTCATCCAATCACCGTCTCTAAGTGCATGCCACGTGACTATAAAGATCTAATTTGGTTGATTGTAATTCTATTGAATGTATTATATATAAGGTAGTTTCAGGACGCAAACTCAAAACCGGGTTCACTCACTTGGTAAAGGTACTTCCAGCTTCTTCGAAAAGCTGCCTAACTTGCAACATACACACGCACGGAGGTTTTTTGTGACCAACATATATGCAAAAAACTCACTAACTCCTGCTGTTCAGAGAGTTGGTTACTTGAGAGGCTAAAACGGCAGCCTTGGCTCTTGTACTCATCAACATCAACTCTCTCACAGCACGACGCTGGTGCTGCCGCGCATTCTTTGCTCGCTTTGGAGCTAAACGGGTGTCCCTTTCCACAAATGCTACTCTGAATTTCTCAGCCGCTGACAATTCAGAGGGACATTCAGGAGATGGAGGGGCGGCCTTCATAAATAAATCCGTGCACTGCCCATGTCCTGAAATCAATATCTCTAACAGCCGCATCGTCCAATGTAATATGTTGTAATGCTTCCCAAGGAACATGATCATCGTTGAACCCAAAAGAGATTGCTTAGGATTTACTACAATGCGTGGACACTCTGCAGAGAAATCTTCTAAAGAATCCTTATCAATATTCGGCTGCAAGAAAGATAAAAATGCAGGTGAAATTTAGCAAATTCTATTTTAAACATCATGGAAACAACTCCAGCAACTAGTATTATTTAATCACAGAAAATTCCTTCAGACTGTAAGTCGTATGGAGTAGATTCTAGTCAAAAGAAAACTAGTACTCCTCCGGTCCTAATTATAAGACTCAATTGACTTATTTGAAGAGATTAAGGAAGTAAGTTAAGTTGGTTATTTATAATAAATAAGTGTTGTCATTCCTAAAATATCCTTACTAATTAAGTATATTGGCTAAAACTATCATTATTAGAAGGATTATCTTGGAAAAAAATGCATAAATATAAGAGACAAAATGGATTGGGTCTTATAATTAGGACCAAATAAAAAGTCAAATTGGGTCTTATAATAAGGACCGGAGGAGTATTATCCAATCACAGATTCTCCCAACACATCTCAATACTTTCCATGCCTCTCACAACAACCAACCCCCCAATATACTCACACCCTTCCTCTTTAACTGCCAATTAAGAAATACCCAAAACATCCTTCACTCACACGATCTGCTCTCACATTCTCATTGGGCTTCCTCCTATACTAATTGAAACCCATGTCCGTCAAAACATTTAATTAAAAAGCAAGGAAGAGTCTTATTTTATCGACGAACAAGGGAATCATCACTGATAGGTTGGCTAGAAAATCTCAAGTTTTTATTTTGGCAGGCGAAAAAATGAGTTTTAAGCATAATCATGTCCCTCATTTTCTTCTAATCCTACCCTAGAAGCCCTGTCCAGATATGTGCACAAAAACTATCAACATTCCAAACTCAAGGTAAATTATACATCTGCAATTCAGCAAGAACAGAATCTGCAATTAGGTAAAAGTTACCCTAATTGAGATGAGAAGAGTTTGAGTCTATACCCATACAAGCCATCTCAAAGATTGGGCACCACAAGCAATTGCATTTGTATCAAGCTCCTCCCATGAATCTTCCTCCATATACTTAAGCATCAACGGGCAATGCTGTCACTCCTTGGACACCCTCTGCAACATTAACTATAGTTCATTGCCTGTTATGAAATTTAATCCTAGTTAAAACACAATGTATCTCCCAATAGTGGCCAAAAAGTAAATCGCTATGCAATGCATGGAATGAATAATGAGGCTTCAAACTTTTAATTTTCTTTATCGAACTAAATATACCAGTATTAATCATAAATCTCAAATAACAAAGGTGACTGGTACTGGACTGCTTTAAATTCACATAGAAGATTCATCCATTTATGCATATGTGAATAAATGAAATTTGTTGAGCTATTTAGTTGTACTTGCACGATAACCAATCCTAATTCCTAAATTCATCAGAAACTGTTAAGACATTCAATTAATGAAAAGCTTTGCACACAAAACCATGTTAAGACATTCAATTAACTCCCTATAAAGTCAACCATAAAAATCAGCACCTACGCAATAGAGGAATCAGAGAGACAAATTGAGATATGACTTGTGCCATCTGTACAATGACTGAATCGCATAGGAGATATGAAATACATATGAGGAATTCTTCCATGCTCGAATTTATCCAAAGGAAACACGATTACTACAAATCCACTGCAAAGACAAAATCATCAAAAAATAGAAACTTCTGCCTAAAAATATCAAAGTCTCATGTTTACTCTCTCTCGAATATAGTCTTGGCCATATGAGCAGGCCATTCATTTGTGAATGCTTTAAATCTTGCTCAATGCCCTAATCTGCAACTGCCAACTGGCTTTGGTCTAGTTCCCATTGAATTTCCCATTTTCAAGCGCACACTGGCCCTTTTTTGGCTCTCAGATATATTCCTTTTCTTCAACAACGTGGGATAAAACAAAGAAAGGAAGAACATTAAAGATGTCTACAAGACAGATTAGGTACATAACTGCATCTTAATGTCTCCAACAATGAGCACTGCTTCACAAGTTCAGATACACCCATAGCAGTAATTTTGCTGCACCGGCTGCGAAACAGTCACAATATATCAAGAGGCTTCATAAGATAGAGAAGCAAGTTAATCTAAAGTACAAGAAAAGTGCATATCTTATATCATGCGGGCCACGAATTACAATATGCTGATGTCTAGCTAGCTACTTGCGGATGCAAATTGTACAGCTGTTGAAAAATCAGCAAGATGTTTGTTTGGGCCAGGGTAAAAAGCAAAGAAAATTCAGTATAATTATAACATCTGGTGGAAGCATGTAATCAGAAGAGTAACTGAGAGTCTGCTTCAATTCTATTAGCTTCATAAACTCATACATATAGCAAAAAGGCTAAGGTTACACTCATTAAATCAAATCAGATTCTAAACTAAAGATATCTCAGGATAACCTAAATAATAATATCAACAAGTAACAGGAAAAAAAAATAACAGAATCAGATTAGACCAAATAATAATAACAATAGGATCTTCCTAAGGGAGAAATGGCATGGCAGCTATAAGCTATGGACAACAGAACCAACAAAGTACATTATCTGTAGTTAGAAAATCAAACCTGAATTCTCAATAGTAATTAGACAATTTGAATAACCTCATGGAATAGTTTAAATGGCTGAGTCCACCAAATAATTTTCAATCCAGCTGGTCCAATTTGCATTATGTTTATCATGCATTCTTTTAGCATCATCAAAGCTTATTAGTTATGATTATTTATAATATATATCACATGTTAAGAGACTAAAAATCATGAAATATCTATGGCATTTATTTGCTATGTTAATACATTGAAGAGCCAAAGCTCTATACCTAATATTCAGAGCTCTAATAAGCCTGCATACTTCAGCAGCTTTTACTATGCCAAAATCAGAAACATCTGAACCAGAGACACCTAGGATTTCCCAGGAAGTATCAGCTAATGATATTAGAACATCATCGTTGAGCAACTTCCTTCGCCTAGCAATAGCTGCCACAACCATCTGCCAACGTGTAATAAACTACTTATCAATAGATTAGTAACAGTTTGTTACACGTGTGGTCAAATAGTCATTACTCATTTGCTCACTTACAGCTGTAATGACGTGTGTCACTGCTTTAGTTCACACTAGCTTACATTACTGCTATACAATATACTGAACTATTCGATAATCGATGAGATCCGGATCTGCAATTCATCTCTAAACCTTGCATTCTCGTACAGATTGTCCCACCAAGCCTTTAGGCCATACCAAATTTCATTTGCCGAGGATCAAACTCGGATATCAACACCACCTTCTCGTTTGAAGGAGAATGATAGAGTTCAAGACAAGAGCCCAAAAGCTCCCCCCATCCATCCCAAATCTGACTCCCAGCAGAAGTCCAATTCCAAATCTCAAGTACAACTCACCCAAGGCAATACATGGCAAATTCAATCATTTTCCTTTTGTCTTAATTTCTATTTAGTATTGAGATTACATTTTAATTCAATTTTGCCGGACCAAACCTCACTATTTTGATTCGTTCTCTGCTGTCGTAATCGAATTTGTTAACTTAACTCCGTAAAAATATCACGATCTTGATTTACCATTATTAAGTTACATATTAGGTTGGTGCAAAGTAAAATTGCATATCAACCGTTAATATCTTCAATAGAAAATATCAACACAGATACATTGTTCCAGCAATTCGTCAACGTCTTTTAAAGTTGAAATCATACATGAAACAGAGCATATCAAATCCAACAGCATCCCAAAACATATATGGGGAATTTCTTTTGGTTCCCTCCTTTGTCATCATGGAACACTAAACAGGCGACTAACTAAATAAAACCGAATCTCAAATGCCGTACATATTGTACTCAATTACAACCGATACCACACAACCATCGAACAAAGAAGATATCTCTCCAAAAGAAAAGGGATCACCGACCCACACAAACACCGAAAAGTATACGAAAGAGGAAATTATTGATTGGATCAAACATTATCAGCGTTGTCTGACTTTGAATGGTGAGTTGGAGGAGGCGAATGAGGAGGAAAAGAATTTGGAGGAGGAGTGGGCACACCGAAGACTTGAGGATTCGTCTTTATATCTTGTCTGCCTCTGGCTCTTCCCAGGAAGTAGCATCCAAAACCCAGAATTAAGCAGAAGAGAATCAGAGGCAGAGATATCACCACCACCATACCCATCTTTCCAGAGCTTTAGTTGACCGATTTGAGCCGCTCACAGGAGAAGATGATGACGATGAAGACGATGAAGGAGCAGAATGAGTGGTCTCAAAATCCGAGAAACGATTGGGAAGTATATGTACTATGCACTGGAAACAGAGAAAGGTGGGTTTATATACATACACACGGACGCGAAAGACGAAAAAGAAGAAATGGGAAGCATAAGCAATCAGCGCAGAAAGCGAAGGAAGGTGGGAATCTATATATATGGAAGACGATTCTGGCTGAGACCGCTTGTGAGGCCTGGAAGGTTTCAGATTCTGTCGTTTTATGAGCTGGCGAAGGTGGGACGGGCTTAACGTTCAAGTTTCAACGGTCACTAGTTGTGGGCCCCAGCACATTAGATGCAATAATTTTTATAATAGTTCTACGTATCAAAATTTTTATTAAGTAATAATTTCAGCTGTTACGAATGATCTAATCAAAAAATAATTATTGCGTATTATTAGTAATAATATTTTAAAAAAATACATTAATTAATTTTTTTAATCAACTCAAATTAATTAACTAATTCTTGTATTAAGAATGCTATAATTATTGCTTATTATTTTATTTTATTAAAGCTAAAGCTGTAGCATAACATTGCTGGTTTCAGGTCAACAAAAAACGTATAACGTCTCTGACGAAAAAGAAAAATAACAACGAGGCTTTTTTTGTCTTTTACTTTTGGTTATTAATTTTTGTACCACTTTTTTCTCACAATAATGATATTTTTTAGGGCTAGTATAACCTTTCGTGTATTAAATTTGCTTTCATTTTAGTTTTAATCTCTTAAATTTTAAATTATAAGTTTTGGTACCTGAATGTGCAAACTGGTCCAGTTTTTTACTCCCTCCGTTTTTTATTATAAGAGACATTTGATGCTCATGGCATGTTCCTATATATAAGAGACACTTACAAGTTGTCTCTACTTTTTTGTGTTGATTTACTATTTTACCCATATTTATTATCTCCAACTCACACTCTCTCCCCCTCCCACTTCTCTTTCTTTCAATAATTTAATTGTTCTCTCTCATGCTCTCTCTCCTTCTTAATGAGGGCATTTTTGAAAAAAAAATTATACTTTTTACACATTAATTGTTCTTAACTAATTTTAACTGTTTTTTTTATCAACGTACTTCGGTTATTTGTCTCTTATAATAAGGAACGGATGGAGTATTTAATTGTGGGAATCAATATTTTAAATGAAAAAAACTTAATAAATCAAAACTAAAAACAGGACAAACTTAAGAGATTAAATTGTATTAACCTATTTTTGTTATCTCCCCTGTATGTTATCTTTTCCTTATTTTGTTGTCATCCTTGTTTATAAAAATAACAGTATGCAATTTATAATCAACTGTTATTAATATGAATGTTACGTTCTTATACATATAGAGAGAGACACACAATTCTCTCATGTTTCACGTTTTCTGTCTCCACCGATAAGCTTAGGATGATATTTATCCAAACTTCTCTTTCTAAGTCCACGGGGAAAATGTAAATATTGAGTGCAGCTTTTTCTTCACGACTGATTCTTTCACAACCGCTTGGTAATTTTGATAAAGTTGAAGTTCCCCTTTATTTCTCAAAGCTAAGCCCCTTTGCACTATTCTTTCCTTCTCATCCACTTGCGTGACAATTGTGAGATGAGATATAAGGAATATAAAGGTATTTAGGTAAAAATCAAACTATAGTTTAAAAAGTGATTTTATGATATATAACATCTGGTTTTTAATATAAGAGTTAGTTGACTACTTTGGGTATATTTAAAAAGTTCGTTAAGTTAGTTATTTATAATAAATATGAGTTGAATTTCTTATAATAATTTTGCTAATCATGTATATTAGCTAGAGTTACCAATTAATAGAATATTTAACATGTGCAACTACTACAAGGATTACCTTGAAGAAAAAAATGAATAGAAAAGATAAAGTGGATTGGAATATTATATTTAGGACTGAATTGAAATACAAACTAACTTTTATATTAAGACCGAAGTTAGTACAAAGTATACATATGAGAAGAATTTTGTCTCGATTTATGTGAAAGTATTTTTAGAAGTGTGTTTTTTTTTTTTGGGAACCAAACACTCCAATAATCATATAAGTATAGACATACCCTTTTGCAGCCCAAGAAGCCTCGACTATTTTGAACTAGGCAAGGACGGGCTTCTCTATTTAAGAATGATGCCTTGTCAATGCCACATGTGAGGAGAAAAAACCTTCTCCAATCATATCTAAAAAATACATTTCATTTAATCTATAATTAACTTTTAAAATATTAAAATACAAAATATCAAGCTATACCAACATATTCAATTTGACAAATACAATCACCTCTCTAAAATGCGACTAGATTCATCAATTGTTGTTTTGTATTAGCAAATGAGTTATATTCCCCCCCCCCCTGTTTGCGAAATCATCTCCCTGGAAAGTGACTGCATTCATTATCTCCCCGATGCATGTTTTTATATCAGCAAATGAATTATGTTCCTCACGTTTTATGACTTAAAATTACAAGAGAGCTTCATATCCTTGTAGGTTTTATATCATCCACAATAATGCTGACAACCACCAAATTACAAATTTACTATAATAATCCTCCAAGTTACGAGTTCCAGCATCTTCACTAAGAATAAAGCTCAAAATATAACTAGTTATCTTTTTCAAACTATCACAGAGATAAGCATATAACAATATATATCAATTTAAATTTAAAATCATATGGAAATAATCAAACATTGATCCGTTAGAGGGATAATGAAAAACGGGAAGATATTTTTTTCCTAAATGTCAAAAATATAATATAATTTTGTACTATATATTATTACAACATTCCTATTGTCAAGATTCACGTTCTCTTGATTTTACTTTATGCAAAACAATCCAAAGGTTGTCGTAATTCTAATAGTTCATAATCTGTAATATCTCGAAATATTATGGTCTTGTCTTCTCTATGTAAGGTCATTCTCGTGTTAGTGCTCACAAATGATGAATGCAACTTGGACATAGTATGTTAAATCCTCCTTCAGTGTGATGTTTTTCAACGGGGTACTCAAACTCTAATGTGAATTCTATACATAAAAAAAAAAAAAATTAGAGCCGATATATTATTATTATTTTTAAAAGACACTAATAGCTTTATTTGAATTTTTTAATATTATTTTTTATGTTTTCATTAATTATTATTTAGTCTCACTGCATGAATTATCTTATTTACCCATTTTCTCACTCACTCACTCTCTATAAATAAGAGTATTTTTAAAAACAAGTTGTATCTTTTATATATTATTGTTTTTAACCACTTTTAACTAACTCTTGTCCACATAATTTAGTTTTTTGTATGCCATAAAACAAAAAAAACACCAAATGGGGTACATTTCTAAATTATCAAACCCTTACTCAGTGAAACTAAAAAAGTGAAATTGAAGCATCCAATTCATTCACACTTATGAATTTTTACAAGAATCTCAAAAAAAAAAAAAAAAAACCTTTCAAATTTTAAAATTCTAAATTAGTCCTATTCACTACACTTTAATAAAAATTGACAAAATTTGAAAAAAAAAATGATAACACATTTTTGTTGTCATTTTTTGTCATTCCTAATTTAGGTTTTTGAAATTTTAAAGGTTTTTTTTAGATCTTTCCTAACTTCTTTTTCTTTTTTTTCAGAATTCTCTTGAATTGCCGAGAGAGCTGGTCAAAATCTCAGTGAAACACTGAAATTATTGTCATATCTATTTTTGGTGAAGAGCAGAGTTGGACGCCTGTCTTGAACAAATTTTAAGCATCTTCCGCACTCGTAAATATTAGACGGCCAATAACTCCTTTTGGCATTTGACTCTATTTAGAGGGACAATCTGGTCCATCTAAAAATCATTTACTTCAACTGCCACATTTCACATTCTGGATTACTGACCTTGTAATGACAACGATTTGTATCTGGATATGATAACAGAGAGCGATTTGTACCTTAACATATCATTCCCACTGACCTACCAGACAACAATTTCAAAAGTGCAGCACAGCTTTTTTTGTCTTATAATGCACAAATCCCTCTTAAGTAGGGATGAAGTGTGGAAACAAAGAAGCTATGGCATTTCATTTGCCTTGAACTGACTATATTACTGTATATGTCTTTGCAGTATCATCATCGTCTCCTATCTTGCTACTGTGAAACTCGTATACTTGGATATTTTCAAGGAAAAAATTAGAATGTTGTACAGTAAAAGGAAATGTAAGAGTAGAAACACACACACACACAACCTTGAAAGAATCGAATTTGTATGGTATATGTCATGTCATTTTCTCAAATTTATCAAGCTTCTTTACCCTTTGCATAGACTTGAAGAACAGCGTCATAAAAAAACCTGCATGACCAGGTAGTGCTAATCAGCCACATGAAAGGGAAGAACTGAAGACTCAAACAAGAACATAAGGTTATGGATAATCTCAATTTCTTCAGATATTAAACTTAAGAGACAGCCATAAATCGTGTGACAACCACATAAAATTGGCATTCATAATTTCAGACCCCCTGCAACACAAGGGTGCTGTGCAGAACCTACACGATAGAAATCCATTGACAAGAAATTGCCTCATTGAGTGGCCATGGAAGCTGCAAATGTGACCAGCCAGATCATTTAAACCAATGCTCGCTGTTGGATCTCTGTTGTCTAGGCTCTGCACAGCACCGCCAGATGTCCAGGATAACAGAGCTGCATAAATTGTGGGTCCCAATTAAAAAGATGTACCTCAATATTACTATGGATCCCCGTCATTTGTCCCCATCTTATATTAATATTGTCAATTTTTCCCCCAAGAAAAAAAAGGTACAGAGAGAGGATGAACATCTTGATGGAAGCGTTATAATATATAGTTAGCTGCACCAACAAAGGATCCATTTGCAATGGCGATATTGCCTTGGGTGGTCAAGGTGACGCCAAAATTTAGCAAGGTTCCTCCCAGTACTGTATACGTAGTTGCCATTTGCAGCACTGTTGCTTTTTGAGCAGCTCTCTCAGACTAAGAAACTGGGTCACAAGTTTGAGATGAGAATTTGTACGCAAAATAATGGCATGTTCATATATTATTTCTGTCAAGGGGGAAAATGTTACATTCCACGCCTTTTGAGGTCAGAGGAATGCTTTTTATTTAACAACTTTTTTCATAACTTCACTCTTGTGTATAGGCACATCAGAATAAATTATGTAGTGCTAACTTTGTTTTTGTGA